TTGCAAGTACTTTTTAACAGTTGATGCATGCTCCCAGCAGCTCCCCCTCTATTTTTAAAATGGTTAAAAGCTACATTTATTCATGCACGTTGAGAGTTATTCTGCATTAAGAGGAGAATAAGGCTCATGAAGCTGAAATGGGCTCAAAATGTATCTATTTATATTTCATATCCTTCCTATTAATAAAGCTATCAATCAAACATAAAACAATCACATGATTTTACTAAAATATATAGCGTGTTAAATACATTGGGAACGCTAGCAAAATTTGTCTGCACAGGCACAGTAAGCTGCTTAAATGTACACAGGTGCCTTAGCCCTTCCCTGGCCAGAGATGTGTGATTACATGTTGCCTATACTGTAAGGCTTTGATGCTGGAGCACTTGAGTCAGGGGTTTCCAAGGTGTAGTTCTGAGGCCAAAGCAGCCTGCAAGACGGTTTGATGCAGCCCACCACCCAGGATTGCCCTGTTGAAATGGCCCTTGGAAGATTCTTTGGGATCCCCTAATTAAGATCAACAGGAGTTTTGCCATTGACTTCAATGGGATTTGGTTCATTCCCCACTCAGCCTGGTTCATCAACTATGTGCTCAAGGCCCAGCTTACCAACATGCTGGCAGGTTTCTTATCATATTCCTGGACACTGGAGAAGATACAACCACTTCTTATATTTTAGTGTCTTTTTTGTAATCATATTTTGCTTTTCAGGGCACCTGCCTAAAAGATGTCTGTCAACTTCATTTCCATTTTTGAAGAGATTAGGCCAAGCCAAAAGCCTGGATCTGAACAGCCTCAAGATTTCAAAAGAATTTAGATCTGGAGCTTGCAGCACTCTCTGATTGACAGACCTAGACTTCATTCTGTGGGCATGCCATGTTATGGATTAATGACAAATTGGACTTCGAGTGTAGGAGTGTGTCATTGGCAGGTCCCTGAGGTCTAGCAATGTCAAGAAGACCTGTGTTTGGGCAGAAGCAACCGCTCCCTTCAGAATTCTGCATCACGGTTCCCTCTTGTTCTTGGTACAAAAGCAAAAGCCTAATGCTAATTGCCTGATGCGAGGGAGATGGTGCCCAAATGCTGACAGTGATTTGCCTGCTACTGAACCAAGAAGGGATGCAAGAAAGACGAGGCTGAAAGGAAGAACATGTACGAGTCAGAGGAATGACTGTGAAAAATTTCTCTGTAAGTGCCTGAATCATGAGGCCCAGAGCTTTTTTGTATAATCAGACTTTAGATACATTTAACTTAATTCAATTTTAAACTGGCTTAGTTTAAATGGTGTAAAGGCTTTGTGAACACATTTACCTTAGATTAAGAGGGTTTACTCTTATTTTAGTTTAGCTTATAGCTATTCCTGAGCAACACAAAATAAACCAAAATAAGTCTGTTGTATGCTAAAGTAAGAGCATCTGTGAAAATCATTTGTTCTGCTTTAACTAGATCTGTTTAAAATTTGACTTAAGTGAATCCAGAGCAACTTTTTTGTTTAGCTAAAGCCTTACTCTATAAATACAGTCCAGGGTTTTGGCAAAAATTGCAGTGGATACAGACCAAACAGTATTGATATTGGTGGCAACATGTTTGAAATATTTTCTGGGATATGCATGTACAAAACTAATTAACTTATAGATGGCATTGGTCCATAGCTGCCATGTGGCTATCTGAAAATATCAAATATTACAGAATGGTAATGCTTCCAAGAGAAATTACCCAGGGGATCTGATGTCTTTCCTCTACATTATTTTTAAAAGGAAGGGTTTCTGGTGTTGTGTTTATTTGCTGCTCAGATACTGTTATTCCAGCACCAGCCCAGCATGTTTCTTTGTTCCAGTGCCCCAGAAGTTAGACATTTGGATGGTTTATTAAGAACGTGTGCACACTGTCTGGCTGGAGCAATTTGCTCTGAGTGATGGTATGTGCCCTTTTGCAGTAAGGACACAAATAGAAAAGCATACATTTGTCAGGCATCCCAGTTGTAAAGAAAGAATTCTTTCATTCTAAATAAATTTGTATTGTCTTGGTGGTTTTTGTGTGGAATGAGAGTCCCTACTCTTACTTTACTCCGCCAACTAGAAATGAAGTTTTGGGAGATCAGATGATGTAGATAATAGAGTAGATAGAATTTTACATGTTGGTACCTGTTTCAAATGTAGCATAGGCTGAAAGTGATGGAGAATCACTACCACCAGATGACTGTATAATGGCCTATTTGAAATGAATTTATGGCCTCTGTCCAAGTCTGGAAGAGGCCACATCACAAGAAGCAACACGTAACTAGCAGTAACTGCTACACTTTTTGGCTATCTTAACAGAGAAGCCAAGGACTGAATGAGCATGAAGAATGAGCTAACCTTTCACCCCACCCCTTCAGGTCAGGGATGAGACATCTGATCAGGGCAGTGTTAGGAAGCTTGCTCTGTTCTTATCTATGCTGCCCCTGTTCTGTGCATAAACAAAAGACTTCATTCTTAATGAGGGGCAGACTGGGATTTTTCATGAACTCTAAATTTATGTGAGAAATGTAGAAGTATAGGCAGTTCAAAATTAACCTCTCAGGAGCTTACATTAAAAAGCACAAGATCCTATCTTACATAAAGCTTTGCCTTTCTGATTGCCAGCCACATTAATAACTAACTAGTGTGGATATGAGTGTCAGGGGAAGTTAATGGATAGTTGTAATGTGTGTGTGTGTGATAGGAAGAGCAACACCTGTAATAAAGGTCACGTAATATTTCTTTATAAGAATCTGTGTTCAAATGCTTTATGTTTTGCCAATCATTAAATGTTCAAGCTTATTTTTTATGCTAATCAGTTGTCTCTGGTCAAATTTTGTAGAGAAAGTTTCAGATGAAGTGACACTCCTTAAAAAAAAATCACCCATTCTGTTGAGAAGCTCTAGCACTTTGAGTTTTGAAGCAGGCAATTGAAATTTGGAAAATGATTAATATCTGTTACACCAGGGATCTGTCTTTTATCATCTTTTTGAAAATCTGCCCAAATCTGGTTCAGTTATAATCCTCTAATAATCAGAGGTCTCCTGTGCTCAGTGGAGGGTTGTTAGAAAGTAGTAACTAAGTTATCCAAGTATTATGTCTGTCCCAAGCATTCTCCCTTCCCACACAGGTTCTACATAATATATATGTGCCCCTCCTCCCCCCAGCACTGACTGAGCATGCTAGGGAGGCAGTGGCTAAGCTGGACTTCCCCTGCAATTATTCTTCCCCGAAGCCGAAGAGCACTGTGGCACAAGAATTAGGATCGGGGAAACAGTCCCTCGAGTGCTGTCTGTGCTGCACACTGGTATTCGGACAGCCCGGAGAAGGCTGATTGGAGTGTAGAGGGGTGGGAAGCAAGGAGAGGGAAAAAGGAGGGGTGACACATCCGGAGAGGAAAACATGAGCAGAGCAGGAGTTAAAGGAAGTGTGGGACGGAAGGTGGGAAAAGGAGCAGAGGAGAGGGCAAAGCCAGGTGTGGGTAGATGGATGGGGCAGGTCAGAAGCCAAGGAGATGGACAGTAGTGTTGATAAGTAATAAAGCAGAATTCCTTCCAGGACCTGGAATACAATTCAAGATTCCTAAATTTCCACATTTCTCTGCTATCTGCATTTCACTGTAACACACACTGAAATAGTGTATCTTATCCCCTATCTGTAAAGGACCCACATCAGTGAAATGTCTCTTTTCTATTCCCATAAACACAAGCAGTAGAGATCTAATCTGTGCATCTCAAGGTCCAAATCTTGCTGATGATTCATGTGAGGGTTATGTTTCTTCCTAGTGTAATTCCTGATTTTATATAGTATGTTTAAAAATAAAATGGACGCCTACATCCCAGAATCCTATATTAAAAGAACATGAGATAGTGAAACGCTGAAATACTTCCAAATGCCCAGATTAAAGTTGCCTCTGTAATCTCTGAGTCCCCTTGTATATATTCATATTGGTATTATCTTTAATTGTATGATACAATGTTTTTTCCTCCCACGTACATGGCACAAGATGGACCATGTTATGTAAACTAATCAGCAAAGGAGATGGTTGTCTGTAGGACCCCCAGCTTCATTTGTTGCAGCAGTTGGCAGGTGTGGAGTGAATGAGGCAGGAAGTGAAAGGATGGTCTCATGGTTGAAGCAGTTGAATGCTAGCCTGGAGAATTGGATTCTCTCTCTGCCAGACAGTACTACTGAGATGATGGGCAAGTCATTTAAACGAAGCTTTTCACATTTGGACACTAATGGTATGTTCTTCATTTTCTGGGTGCTTAACTTGAGACTCCAGGGGCCAGATTTGAAGAAGTGCTGAGTATTCACAACTGCAATTCAAGTCAACAGGGGCTGTGCTTTAAACATAAAAAGTGCTATAAAAATGCAAACTATTTTGGCAAATCCAGGCCCTAGCTGTCTCAAGCTGGGCAACCAATATTAGCGTGACTGCTTTTTACAGTTTTGGCCTTAATTTATCTGTGTTTCAGTTTCTCATCTCTAAAATGGGGGTGATATCAATTCTTCTTACAATGCAAGTTATAAAGATACATTCGTTATTGTGTGCAAACAATGTACTAGTAAGCAAACCCACAAGGGGTCATACAAAGGTTGCACAGGCAAGCTTAAATCTGTTTTTTTCCTAACTTTTGAGGTATTGACTTGGTAACAACATTCTCCTAACTTAGTTTTTGTCTGTGATACATATATGCAGTTGAGATATATGGTCTCTTGTGCCCCGAAGAACAGCCATTTAGAGAAACTTCAAACAGAACCTAGTGTTTTCCTCCTTTTCCATGCTTTATTTTTTAACCTCTTTTGTTATACAAGCTAACCCTTAGGTTATAAACACTTTTCCATTTTGCCAGCCAAATTAATGTGATGAAAGGACACCTGTAGGCATAAGTAGAAGCCAAGGACATACTGTACATACATTATTTATATAGTTGTCTTTCTTAGGTTTTGTTTATCCAGATAAATAAATGGCAACAGAAATAAAAGTTCATCTGCAAGGCTGTTGTATTAGGAAAAAATGTAAAAATGAGCAAACTTTATTATCCTGGTACATAAAAAGAAAATATCCCTTTCTATGCCTATGCACATAACAGTTCCTGTAGGAGTTAAACAAGTACATTCTCATTATATTACTCATAATTTAGATTTGCCTCACAAAAGTAAGAACAATAATTAAAATTGGGATGAATGCAGTGGCCTGGAGAGAAGCAGCCACTTTGCCTATAAGACATAATAGGCGCACGTAAGAGAGAAAATGAATCCTGCCAGACTGAACTCATGAAAAGATGAGGCTAGAATTAAATAGTGATACTATATCTTGCTGGAATGCCCATAATAGTATGCAACAGTGGACTGGCCCTAGGAAGGTTTTAAAATGATTTTTCAGGACCCCCACAGAAAGACCCTATAAGGCAAGATCAGAGAATTTTGCTAAAAGAATTCTGGTTTGGATATCTTGAATCACTGTTTGAAGATTATACTTCTCTGTTTTAATTCATGTGAAATGCTGCCATGCTTTCAGTAATTGAGAATCAACCCTTAACAATCCCACAACAGAAGAGCTAGAGTTCAAATGATTTTGACTCTCCTTTAGTTTTGGTTGTTTTCCATATGTTTTTGTCTTAATGTCTATAACAGTTATTTTTTAAAAAATAGAATCATTCAGATAATTCTTTATTGGGCCATGAATTTAATGAAAAATCCACAGGAAAAAAAAAAGTTCTTATCTTAAGCATAGCTGCTGACTTCCGATATCTCATTTTTCTCCTGCAATAATCCCGGTGTTCAAAGTAGGTGTTGTATTTATCATCTTTGGATGGAGCTGAATTTCACTTCACTTTTCTTTATGGTCTTATCACATCGTTTACAAACACTTTATCTCTGTAACTGAAAATAAATGAAATTCTAGGCTTTCGATGAAATGCCGTGATGAAATGGATGGTCCAAAAATCTATATTTAGATGACTGACTCCTGTTTGTGGAAGACATGATAAATGTTTCATGCATATAAACTGAAGGATGATGGATTTAATGATCATACCCTAACTGGGGAATGCTATTTTGGAATAATTAAATGCTCCTTCATTTGCAAGTCAAAGTAGTCCATTGTTAGCTTGTGTTTCTGTCTGTCAACAAACCCTTCCACCTTGTGAGGGAAATTTATCATTAAAACAATTGGTATAATATGAACATACCATGCACTTATTTAGATACATAGTTAGGGAAATTTAATTTATATTGGCTTCATCTCACAACAGAAATATATGACAGACACTATTAAAGAGCTGTTGGGAGCTCTCATTTTTAGGTGTTCTCTAAGAGATGCTTGGGAATCCTACTAAAGACTTTTTCAAAATGAAAAGTATCTTGATTTCACACAAATAACTATTCATATTTACCAATTACTCTTAATTAAAGTAAACAGTAACAAGACACACACATGTCAAATTTATTTTGTCATTAGATAATTAGAAGTGTTTGGGTTCAGCATGGAGTTTGGAAAATGGAACGTCACCTATGAACCTAATCCTACAGCTAGAACTTCTTAAGTAGAACTCAGCTCTTTCACAAATCCATTTCCTGAATTGGGCTCTCTCTTTTTCCAGTGATTATATTAAGAAGTCCAAGATCAAAATCCAGACAAGATCAACATTCTTAGATACCTTGTAGTGGGTTGCCATTCACTGAGGTAGACCCAGGAGCCAGCATCTTCATAAAGGTCAGTCAGCTCTTAGGTCCAATTTTCAGTCCATTTGTTGTACACATGGAAATTTGTCATCACAGCAAACAAAGTAAGCAGCAAAACAAGCAAATGTGGAACAACAAAGAAAAGTGCAGACTCTTTGGGAGACGGAGACGGAGATCCTAGGCTCTCTGTTTTTTCCTTTAGCATACCAGCCTCCTCTCTCCCTCTCCTTCAGCTCCCCGCCCTGGGAGCTTTTAACTTCCTCTGGGCCAGCCAATCATCCATGTCAGCTGGCCCGATGCCCCTTAGCAGGCAGCCTATTATCCATTAACCCCCTGCAGCTGGACTCCAGCCCCTGAGCCATGTACCCTGTTACATATCTACAATTTAGGTTGCAGCAATTCAGAGAACTGAAATGCTTAGCAAGAAGTTGTCTAGAGCTAGCAAACAAGAAATACAGAGAAAGGTTTATCTGAACACCAGTGTGTTGGTAAGTTTAGGTACCTCCATGCATTCAAGATCCAGAGCTGATGACCTCATCTGAGTATAGGTACCTAACTGAGCAGGACTCACATGATAGCAGTGGTACCATCCATGGTACCACTGCTTTTATATAATAGCCTACAGCAGGGCTGTCTCCAGCTGGCAGCACATCAGCCCACATAGGATTAACATGCAGCTCCCAAGCTTCTGCCCAGCTGCCATTGGTCCTATTGCTCTAGTTGCTGCAGTGGCAGCAGCAGCCACGGTCTCTACATCAGGACAGCATAGACAGAAGGCTTGGTGAGTTTACTGCTCACATGGCAGCAGGGGTATTAAAAGGGGGAATTGTTCACGTAGTGGTGGCAGAGGCCAGGGTGGGGAGAAGGCAGGGGCTCATATTGCTCGCACTGCAGGTTGTGGGGAGGGGGGTGAATCATCCACGCAGTGCTGGCAGTGGGAGAGGCTTGCATGGCAGTGGCAGTGAGGGGGAATTGCACTGCTTACACATTGAGGGGGATTCAAATAGCAGGGCCCTGGGGAGCCCATGCAGCCCCTAAGGCATGCAGCTTGAAAGATGTGCAACCTGAGGCTTATGACCTGTGTGGCTTGCAGCCCCCAGCCACTTTGATGTTGGACAGCCCTAACCTCCAGAGCGGAGCACTGGCCCAGGAAGGGAGACTTGGATCGCTGGCTCTCCTCAGCTTGAGGGGATTCAAGCATACCTCTCCCACATCCCAGATTAGTGCCTTAGCCACCATGCTACCAAATAGTCTGATGAGGCACCTTCCACCCTCCTATTGGAGCTGGGATACTGTGCAGGCCAGAAGGGCAGCAAGTAAGAGGGAGCATGTCTCTGTCACCTAGTGGTTAGGGGATGGAATTCACAAGGGAGGGACCTGGGTTCTGGTTTATTTCCTTTCAGGTTTATTTCTCTAAGGTAAAATGAATAAGCAGTCCTATGAGCAGGGACCCAAACCCAAGTCTCCTCCCCTGTTCCATACAGCTGAGAAATTAGCCTTCCATTGCTCTCCTGGGTCTGACCCTTGCATTCTTGGCTTCACAATGGTCCAGCCTCAACAGGAAGGTCCACTGGCTATTCTTGGTCCCACTTCTGAGAAGTCGGCGATGCAGATATGAATCACTTCTGCTTTTCAAAGGGCTATAATTCAGATTTTCTATTTCCTAAGTGAGTGCTCTAACCGGCAGGCTTTTATTCAAAGATGGGCAGCATCAGCCACTTTTCCTCTAGTGCTAGTTTTGAATGAAAGTAACCATGGCAGTTGTTCTGCGTACTGACCTCAGCACTGTCAGCATGCGTTAGGTATAAGCAGAGCACACTGACTGTATTGAGATTGTTTGCACATGTAGGGCGCCTCCAGACAAATGTGCACGTGCATTTTCCTGGGGACAAATTGCAGAGGCTCACATTTTTGCCACTGCTACTTGTCCCCAGGGAATGCCCATGCATGTCCACTGTGGTGCACAGCAAGTTGCCCTGGGTACAGTAGGGGAGGTTGGGGCCAGCACCTGGGCTGGCCCCAGCAGTCTTACCTGGGGTCCTGGGGACCTTCATGGGCTACAGCCATGGCAGACCAACAGCAGGGAGCCTGGCCAGTAGCCAGCGTGGCTCCAGTTTGCCATGCTCCAGTTTCAGGCAGCGTACACTGCCACCACATGTGTCACCCCACTTTTTTTAGGCGTGGACTTTTTGGACGCTGCAATCTGCCGGTGCCAAAACTGCTCCCCTGTGCTGCAAATTAGCAGCGTGAGGAACAGCTGCATGTGCGGCACCTGCAGTATGCAGTGCTGCAGACAGGTCAGTGATGCTGCATACCACACACGTGCATTCGTCTGGATGCCCCCGTAGGAAGCCAAGTGGTGGCAACAAAGTTTAGGTGGGAGCTCAGGCTAAGACACTCCCATGTATCTGTGGAAGCCTCTAAGTTCCACACCCATATGGCACTTAGAGATCTTTGAAGTCCAAAAATTAGCACCAAATTGATGTGGATACCTAATCCATTTTATGGCCTCTGGAGCAGGGTCACTCTAGAATGATTTTTGTGATTCAGGTACCCGAGTTCTACAAAGTACTGTTTATGTGCCTAGTATATGAATTAGACCCCAGAACTGGATGCTAAAATAATATCTGCAAGCTGGATCTTATCACATTCTGTTAATTGTCATTTTATACAAAAACTATTGTTGATAGTAAATGGAAATATTTTCTAATCAGGAAATACAAACATTTGCCTAAGATGTTATTATCGAAAGTATGTTTAATGTAGTCTCTCTGCATCAAACACACAAACAAACAACAAAAACCACTGAGCTGACCAATCCTGTCTGGTCATTGTAACTTTACTGACTTCAGTGTGTGTGTATGTAGTATGTGTGTATGTAGCGTGTGTATGTAGTTCCCTTCTTGTCAAAGCATTACAGCAAATCAATTAATAGGAGCAAAACTGGTAAGAAAAATGTAAACAAGAAATAGTTTGATTACCAATCTCAGATTTGATATCCGCCCATGCAATCTGAGTGGTATGAAAGTAACAGCACAGAATTTATCTTTCTTTCAATATTTCACAGGTATTTGGATGGTGAGGTAACTGGAACTGTACAGAAAAAAATATAATGGATATTTTAAGTGAGAATAATATTTACTGTCATTTGCTGTTTGTAAGTATCAGATCACTGTCTGTTTTTGATAGCTATAATGCCTAGTTCTTGGCTCCTACATAGATCTCAAAGCACTTTATAGAGAGGGTCGGTATCATTATTCCTGTGTTGCAGACAGAAAAAATGATGCGTTTAGGGAGGTAAAGTGACTTTCTCAGGGTCAATCCAATTGGCAGCAATAGGCCTGGCAATAGTACCCAGGTTTTGGAGTGCTATTCCAGTGCTTCTTCCACTACTCCACACATTCTCTGTGATGTTAATGAACTCATTTAACAGTTTGCTTCTTTTGCAGGGTGAGAACAAGCGTTCACAGGATCCAGCTGAGGCAGTTTACTTTAAGGGGACAGCACATGCAGGCATTCGCTGCTGCTGGAAGCAGTGCAGGCAGCCCGAAATAAGTAACTTGAGTAAGGGAAGGGTTGGCAAGGTGGGAGAGGGGCTGGTGGGGCGCAGGGGCTGATGGGCATGCTGGGGGGAGGGTGGGTTTATGGGTCTGCAGAGGGGTTGCCAAATCTGGGGGGAGTGGTTGTGGGGCTAAAAATAATCCCATCAGAATCAGGGTGGGAGGGGACGGGAGGAACAGCACAGTCCCAGGCTTGGGGCAAACAGCTAGTTTTTCCTAGCCCTAGGACTGTGCTGTGACTGCATGCAGGTGTTTATTAGACCAGGTTAATTTACTTCATATCAGATTAGCTCCTATAAATCTTAAATTAGTTCACCTCCTGAGGTGAACTAACTTAGATTGGGCACACCGTTTTTGGAAGGATTTAAGCCCTTTGAATGCCTGCATGCTTGGGCATTTAAATCAATCTAACCTTGGTTAGGTCGGTCTAAAAATACCACTTGTACATACTCATTGGGAATCTCCTGACACAGCCTTTGCATTAACCATATACTTCAGGAAGCAAATCTTAACCTTCTAAAACTGTTCATTGAAATGTGTAAATCTCAATTAAGTGAAATAGAAATTCAAGTGTGTTCAAGTGCTGAGGCATGGAAACACAGATCACAATTCCTCTGTCATATGGCCTAATCAGAAGGCAGGCAAGTAGCACTGGAAATGTTCCCAGGAGCATAGATTATCCAAACTTTACAAAATTGACTGATATGTTGTTGTGTACAACTTTCAACTTCAACCTGCTTAGAAAATCTTTAGGGAGTCTTCTGGCACTTTGCCCCCAGAGAGATTCTCCTGTGTCAAACTGTCCTGGGTCATTTTCTTGATTCTTAGAGTAGACAGTGAGGAATGCCTCAGCAGACCCTTGAGAAACAGAAGGGAGAGGAGAGAGGGAAAACTAGTATGCTCCAAGAAAACACAGAGAATACGAGAACATTGCCTGGGCCATTAAAAAGATTGATGATTATTATTGAAATGAACCTTTTTTTGTGGCTTTTGTTTTTAATCATTTTTCCTAATCCCAGAATGCTTTCAAACATCAAGGTTAATCTTAAGGTCCCAATTTAATACATAATCAGAATTTATCACTTAAGTCTTAGTTCACAGTGAAAGCATTTTGTCATGAAAATGTCTTGATTTGTCCACAACTCTGCACAATATAAGCATAAATAATTTGCATTAGAGGGTAAGGCAAATACATCATTACTTCCACACCACTGGTAATCTATCATTTCCTATACTACACACCTATTGTACCATGATTTTTTATCCTATTACCAGAATGCTCATAACAAAAGGCTTAGGGATAAATCTTGAATGCCTTATGCAAGTGAGTAGTTCCAGTGAGAGGTAGGAAAACATGTATGTGAGTCAGACAACAAACAGTTAGCCCACAGCTTGATTATACACAAAGGAAGTATAACCAGCCGTGCCTATCCGGCACTCCCTGCCTGGGCTTTTCTGGTTGCCCTGGGCCAACCGCAGGTTTGCGGGTCGACAGCTTTTCCCGGCACCAGCTACCTGACCCACTGAAGCCTCTTTCCTGCCACGTCTTTGATGGAAACCTTTCTCTCAGGGACTGATGTTATACCCGGCTCAGTGGTGTTCAGTTATGGTCTCTTGGTAGCGCGAGGATTTGGGGGCTCCACCTCCCCTACACCCCACCTAGCACCAACCTGTT